GGAATAGAGAGTAAAAGAAATAGAAGATGGAAGAAAGTGAATGAAGAACGGAAAGAAAGAACAAAGAGTAAAACAAGAATGAAAAAGAGGAAAAAAAGAAGAGAAAGAATAAAACAAGCGAAAAAGAAAAAAGTAAAATAAGATAAAGGAAACTGAATAAAAAATATAAAAAAGTGAAAGAAAAGAAGGAAAGAAAGAAAAAAATGAAAAAGGAAAAGAGCGAAATTAAATGGAAGAAAATGAAGAAACAGAAATGAACGAAAGAAATGAGAAAAAAAAAAAGGAAACTGAAAAAAATGAAATAAGCAAGGGAGTAAAAAAAAAAATGCGATGGGTTAAAGGGAGGGAAACAAGAATCAAAAAAAAAAATTAGAAAAATGAAAAATAAAGAAGAAAACAGAGAAAAAGAATAAAGAAAGAGAAGGAAAAAAAATAAGCGAAGGATTATCATTGAGTACTTCTATTGAAATGGCATAGGTACGTTATATTAATCCTACAGTTTTCTAATTTCAACCCAACTAAACATGAATCTGGTAAATTTTGGACATTATAAAATTTTTATCCAAACCCGTGCCTTCGGCATGAGTATTATGCTAGGTTGTAACTAAGGATGGCATATGTAACAATAATAAAAATCATGAAGTTTTGATTTAAAGCTGTTAAAAAATGTTTTATACATTTTGACGTAATCATGGTCTGAAATTATGTAATGCAATTGATATCGTACTTATTACGATAACGAACTTTTTTTAAAAAAATAAATAATAATAAAATAATTGGCAATGTTTCGTGAAACACCTTTAAAAAAATCACTGAAATTAATAAACACACTCGAACATCGTCGTCAAAATTATAATTCATCCCAAGTACTTATTCAACAAGATTTACATAACAATATTTGCAAGATAATTTGTTTATGCACATATATCTTGGATCTTAATATATCATTAAATGCGTAAAGTTGTATTTAGTTGGTAGACAAATTACGCGTTTTAAAGTAATTTAGCATCAAAAAAAAAAAAAAAAAAAATACATTTTTTATAATTTACGTATTCACAATTAGCATAAGGATTGTTAATGGAGCATTCCGTTGACTTCGTTTTAATAGTAATACTTCAGAGTATTACTTTTAAAATGGAGTCAACGGAGTGCTTCATAAACAACCTTATTCATAATCGTTTTTACACGTTATTTGTAATAAATCAAGAATTATAAAATATACACTTTCTTTTTACTTTATTTTTTAAAGACAATTTTCTCAACCATATTAACTAAAACCGAAATTAATCAATCAGTAAATTTCAGTATCAGATTCCGATATTTTAAACCAAATTTTAACCAATAGAAAATGGGAATTGCTATTTTCACCCCATTTTTGCAATGCCACCCCCTAAAATTTAGGTATTGTTATTAAGAAACCTCTCCTTTTGGTCTTAATAAAAGTTGTTCGTCGGATCGGTGGTTTTTTTTTAAAAGTAAATGAAAGTTAACTAACTTCGGATATAAATATCTTAGGAACTACTGGTCCGAGTGTAATAATTTTACTACTATTAGAATCGGAAAGGCCTGATGAACAACTTTTATTAAGATTAAAAGGAGGGTTTACTTCATAAGAATATCTATTTCGGAGCATCTGGAAGGTGGCATTAGCAAAAATGGGGAGTGGAAATAGCAATTCCTTAAAAGATATATATATATATTTTTTTACCATCTCTATTTGTAACAAACTCATATTTTAAAAATATATTTTTTGTTGAAACTAAAATTAACCAATCGGATGCAATAGTTTCAGTTTCAGCCCAAATTCAACATCAGTAGCTTATGTTTTAAAACTTTTTTTGTAATAGTTATATTTTGATACAGTTGGGAATAAGTGGAATTTTGTAGTAAGCATAATCGGCCAGTTTTACTGTATCCAACTACACAGGATATAACTGTAACCTATACCAGGAACGGAGTGAAACGAAGTGTATGGCTTAGTGAAGAGTGAAATGATGTTCGGGTGCAAAATCTTACATCTTATTGGTCAGCGTGATGATCATGGTCGTCATGTCATGACTGAAGTTGGCATCTGCCTGAAGGTGGAACTTCAGGTACCTGAAGTTGGCACCTGCCTAAAACAGCTAACTAGTGCGTGCAGGATGATCTAATTTCAGGGAATAATTTTCCAACTTTAGTCGGGTGCCAACTTCAGTCACGACAATACCACTTTTTTTTAAATTTCTAGAGCGGTCAACCTTTTTTTACAATATTTTGCATATTTGCATATTTGTTATGCCATTTTATTAATTATATTTTTAGGAGCTGCTAAAGTTCTCAAATTTCAGACCTGATTCTCTGCTTATGATTTTGGATAAGAATCAATTGCAACCATTATTTCCATGTTTATAGATTCTATTCAAACACTACTCTTGTTTATCATATTATAATTTATTATTACTGTAAGATATCATGAAGGTGTATTTTTTCATTAAGTATTAACATTAAAGTTAGCCTGTTTCTGGTTTCAACGCGACTACGTCGCGCAGCTACCTAATTTACTAAATATATGTGCTAAACTTAGTAAAAATACCTATAGATGAAATTATTTTTGAAAATGATAAAACTGACAAACTCCTAAAGAAACACGAAGCTTCCTAGTGAAATAACAAATGTAATTAAGATAAAAAAGTAAACAAATAAAAATAAAACTAAAAAAGTAAACAAATAAAAATAAAACTAAAACCTTTATTATACTGCGGCGAAACCACAATATTGTAATTTCTAGTTAGAAATATAAAAATAG